ATAAAATCACAACTAATTATCGCACACGTTTCAAACTTCACACAATAAACTAGTCTGAACTGAACTAAATAATGTAGGTAGATTTGATTTTTAGAATTGAATGGATCTGTGTTAGGCCTAGTACTTTTCAATCCACCCTCGTAGTACCACAACTTTGGTACGTAAATGTTGTCAGTACCATTTCCCGACGCACGAGAAGACTCCACTTTTTTAAGTTCCTTACGGAAAACAGTACGCAGGTTGTTAATTTTCTTTTGCACTTGACTTATGTCTGCAGTGGGACCTACTTCCTTCATTTTTCTAAGTAATACCTCATAACATCCAGTTCGTTTCATCTGATTATAGTAGTCCTAGTGTTTTATTTTCCATAAAACCTCGTGTTCTTCGGAGTAACTATATAAATTCCAACAGGAAATCCATGCTCCACGACATCGCAAAAAATTTACAGGTACCGTACGTGCTACTCGCGCTAAAGATAGAGGCAGACTGACGATGATCGCATCCGATCACGCCATACACGTACGATGTATTGAACGATGTTCAGATCGCAATCGATATTTTCGGGGTTGCCTGTTGAGATCTCCAATCGATCGTTCGACCACAAAATCGGATGCAATATTGCCACACACGTACAATTTGTCGTTCGATTTTATCATCGAGCGACGAATCGTTACTGATTCGACCTTCTGATTTTCCCTTTTATCTAGTGTTTCTTGTAATTTACTTGGCATTCGTTTCTTAGAGGTTGACGGACCTAGCGTAGAATCATCAGTGTTATCAATATTTTCTTGCATTGTATGCCTGTTTTCGGCATTTATCTCTTGAGTATTATCGAATTTAGAATCAATGCCAGTGAAATAATACTAGTTTTTACGGAATTTATCGCCTATATTTAACTTTTTAAATACCCGACGTTTCGAACGCTTTACAGCACTCATGGTCACGGGCGGGACTGAGATGTTCAACGTCCATATATCATAGTTAACCGCGGTTACCATAGATTAAAATTTAACTTTTGTTCCGATCTATGTAGTATGAACTTATGGTATCTTGAAGTCTTGCAGTTGTATGCTTGGGTTGGGATTTAATTTTATTTATTATAGGATCCCAAGCAGATGGTAGCACCCAGCCATCTTCTCTATTGAAATTAGGATGTTTTTTGATTTCAATAGCCTCGCGAATCATCCTTGGAAGGAATCGGTGTTCTTTAGCGAGGATCTGCGGTCTATCAAATCTGATGTAGTTACGGGGGCGATCCTGTACGTGTTCACAGAATGCAGACTTCTCGGAGCGTCGATTCTTCACATCAGCTATATGTTCTTTAACGCGGGTTTTTATTGATCTTTTAGTTTGTCCTATGTAGGAGAGACCACATTCACAATCAAGCTTGTACACTCCTGCATCTTGCAGAGGGACATTACACTTGACTGATGGTAAAAACTGACCAATCTTCTTCAGCGGCTTGAAGTATGTTTTGATGGAAGCGCGCTTCAAGATGTAGCCAATCTTGTCAGTGACTCCTCTAACATATGGCAGTACAACAGGTACACGCTCGACTGTGGCCGGCTTCACTCGTTCACTGTGACGTAGGCGCGAGACTCGAAGCTTGTTGTCATGCAAAACTTGCTTGACATGGTGGAGCTCTGCAGCCAGGTGTTTACTGTCACAGATCCCTCGTGCTCTCTGAAACAAAGATTTACCCACGGTAGCTAACTGTGAAGGATGGTGGTGAGAATCACCGTTTAAATATCTATCTGTATGGGTCTTTTTTCTATACACAGTATGGCTCAAGGTGTTATCAGGATTCCGAATTACTAACACATCTAGAAAAGCTAAGGAATTGTTTGCCTCTAACTCCATTGCGGACTGAATTTTTGAATTTATAGTTAAGATGGTCTGGAAAATGCAGTTACGTTATCTAAAGGTAGAATTGTGAAAGTGTCGTCTACGTACCGCTTGTAGAATCTTGGATTTATGGGAGAACTAAGCAGGGCTTTCTCCTCAAAGTCTTCCATGATTATGTCGGCGACAATGGGAGATACAGGTGAGCCCATCGCTACACCATCTACTTGCTTGTAGAACTCCTCCTTCCACAATAGGTAGCCAGATGTAAGGCAGTGTCTGAGTAATACTGCATATTCTACAGGCATGTTGTTTTCTTCCAGCTTTCTAGTTACAATTGAGATGCAGTCTTCAACAGGTAAGCATGTAAACAATGACTGCACATCAAAACTGACCATAGTTTCATTGTCTGCCAGATGTAGGTCTTTAATCTCGCTGACAAAATGGTAGGAATCCTTTATGTGTGCTCTTGTATGTCCCCTGAGCGGTGAGAGTATTTTCGCTAAGTGTTGAGCCAATCTTTAAGTTGGTGAATCGATTTGGCTCACTATGGGACGTAATGGAGCATTGGGCTTGTGTATTTTTGGTAACCCATACAATTTTGGTGATTTGGCGCACGTAGGTATTATCAATTTTACGTCCAGATTTAATTTTTCGGAGTGTTTCTTTATGAGGTCACTAGTTGTTTTAAGTGTGCTATTTGTTGGGTCGTTCGAAACGTCGGGTATTTAAAAAGTTAAATTCCGTAAAAATTCTAGTATTATTTCAATGTGTAGTGTTCGCGTAAATATAAGAAATCATTATGTAAACCAGTACGGACTGGTAATTGCAAATAAAATACGCCGATTAGAAGATCTAAAGACCAAGCGCGCTATATATATCTAACAGCCTTAAATTTCTTGAAGAGACGCCGAGACCATAATCTCATTCCTACGTGCGTCAAAATATCAACCAAAAACTAGTTCTAGTTACTGCTTGATATAATTGTGTCCGCTCCAATTTATTTTCTCCTAATCAAGCAGGATTCCTTTCACATATTTGGCAAATAATAGTTTGTTTTGGGGAAGAGCGAGTGCATTGTACCGCGCGTCATTTATGTAAGCGTAGAAGCATTAAGCAGATACAGTCCACTTTGGTTAATATTTCGCGTAATAGGTTTAAGGCTCGACCGGGGAATAGGACTTCGGTAGCCTTAGGCTCGTCGCTCCACTATTTTATGGTCACTTCGGCAGGATTTGGACTGGTGTTTTAGTAGTCATTCAACCATTTTCTGGTCGAATTATTGGATTAATTGTTTGGATAATGCACTCTAATTTATGGAATAGACTTAAATAGTGTTCGTTTATCCCTCCTAATAGAATTATTCATTTAAATAGTGTTTGTATTTGGTTTAAATTTAAAGCTTATTAGTCGCTTAAATAATTGAAACAGTGTAATCGCAATCGTTTTGTACGCTTACCTGACAATTTTGATAAAAATAAATAGAGTTTAGCGAGCGACACGCGTCACCTCGACTCGCTGTAACAGGTGTTCCATTTAATTACGTAATACGGCGTACGAGTGTCCATCCTCCATTATTTGTGCATTGTGAGATTAATTGTGATTAATATAACTTTATTATAATAATTTAAAATGGCAGTTAGTGGAAATGAAATTAAAACGCTTTATGCCAAGAGGGACATACTTTTTTCACGTATACAAAGTATTAGTGATCACATAAAGAACATTAATGTAGAAGCAGCGCGGGAAACTTTTTTGAATGAGATTGAAACGGTGGATTCTTTGCGGACGGATTACGAAAGAATATTAGACCAAATTAATCATTTTGAATTACAAATCGACCCGAAATATATAGTGAACTACCAACCGCTTCTGGCGTTTGAAGATATGTTGTGTCGCGTGAAAAGAACGGCGAAACTCTTACAATCTCCATCTCAAAACGAAGCAAAGCCGGAAATACAGGTACGTCCACGTGACTCAATAAGGTTGCCGCCAATAGATATTCCGGTATGTGTGGTGGTGATATTAAGACATGGCCCTTCTTCTTCAGTAGTTTTCAAAACAATATACACAATAACCCGTCGTTATCGGACGCTGAAAAATTATATTATTTAATTAGTAAACTTAGTGGCAGGGCACAGTCAATTTGCTCGGGTTTTACACCTACAGCAAACAATTACTTGTTAATATTCGAAATGCTTAAAACTAAATATGAAGATAGGAGAATGTTAGCTTCCGAATATTTGAACCAGAACCTGGTTAGTGTAGAGAGACACTACACTAACCAGGGTCTTGCTCAATAATAATAAAAAAATAAGTACTAGTAATTTTTTACTAAATTTACAAATTTTGTTCAAAATATCCTCCTACATTATGCAGACACGCTCGATATCTTCGACGTATTTCAGTCGTGGTAGTTTTTAATCGTATTTCTTCTTTCATAATATGAAAAGCAGCATTTATTTTTCCAATCAACTCTTCTTTTGTTTGTATTTCATTTTCGTATACAATTTCCTTTGCTCGGCCCCAGACATAAAAATCCAGTGGAGTCAGATCTGGGGATCTCGCAGGCCATTCGATAGGTCCGAGTCTCCCTATCCACGTGTTCGGAAATACCGCATCTAAATATTCCCTCACGGTTCTGCGATAGTGGGCAGGGCAGCCATCGTTTTGAAATATTATTCTTGTGTCCTCATTCATTATTGGTACCTCGCTCATTAGTTCCGGGAGATCATTTTGTAAAAAATGTAAATAATTATCTCCGTTTAAATTATCAGGTAGATAATGAGGACCGATTAAATATCTTCCGATCACACCTGCCCACACGTTAACACTAAACCGTGTCTGATGCGATATTTGTCTCGTTTTACGTGGGTTTTCATCTTTATCTGACCAATAATGTAAATTATGTTGATTGAAAATGCCTTCTCGTGTAAACTTCGACTCGTCGGTCCATAAAATGCTCTTCAAAAATTGATTATCGTCGACATCTTTGTGCAGTATAAAGCTGCAAAATTCTGTACGCCGTGCAAAATCTCCTTCCACGATACCTAGCACAAAAAATAGTGTAAGTTACTTTACTCACTTTAAAATGTATGAAATAATTAATAATGTATAAGATAAACAGTAATTTTATAAAAAGAAGAAATAATAAGTACCTTGCACTGGGGTGAGGTGAAATGGGTGCTTGCAATGGTTGCGGAGAACCGACCACACTTTCCATACAGAAAAGCCGAGTTCAGTCGCTACTTTTCTAATGCTTATAGTGGGATCATCGTCAAAAGCCGCCAAGATACGCTCATCCACAGCAACATCAAGTGGTCTTCCACGTACTCCTGGTTCCCTGTGTTGCAATTTGCCAGTTTCACGTAGCCTTCTATAAGTATTTGCAAACGTATCATGGCTAGGCAACCTTCTCGTGGAATACAGCTCTCCATAAAGTCTACGTGCCCTGTGGCCGTTATTTAGGGCCCGGCCATAAACCAAAAGCATATCAGCGTATTCCTGGTTAGTAAAATAAGTGCGTTGAGCCATAATCACTGCAGTGTTTGGAATTAAGTTTGAACACTACCGTCCGAAAACAGAAACAAATAACAAACAAAAACTTAACAATCAACGAAACAAAAACTAAACTCAACGAAACTGTTCAACAATGAATGTCGAAAAAGAACTCGCAAGTAGCTTCAGAGACAGTCAAATCGCGACTAAATTAAATAACAACAGAAGCAGGTAGCTGATCCGCGCGTCGTAACTTCGCCTGTACCACCAGAAAGAGACAACATCTACCTGGCTCGCACACGCATAAATGAAACCATAAAAATATTTACACGGGTAAAAACCAGTTTAGGGTGCCCTGGCAATTTTTACGGAACTTGTAATATTTTAATTCCCCCCGTCCTCACATTTGATTATCAATAATTTTGTTGATAATTTAAAGTTTTATGTAACATGTGATATACCGATAGAAAGAGGATGAAATAGAATTTTTTTTATGGCCATTTGAAATTACTCAAGACATTTATTTATTTTTTTTAAGGGGCTGGAAACTTAAGGGCTTACAATTTTTTTTCTCGTTTGTTCACTTTCAATGTGTCGTAAGTATTTTTTCTTATGCCTTTTAGGCTTTCAATCTTTCTTTTAATTTAAAAAAAAAATATATTTCTTAGGGAAAATAAAAAAACATGGTAGAAAACTAGAAATAGTAGAAGTTATTGAACCAAAATACTAGAAAATTGGGATAATTACAAAAAAAATTTAAAAATTCAATTAAAAAAAAATGGTAAGAGATAGAAAAAAAATTTACTAAGAAAATATGCTTCTAACGAACCCATCTATCTCCCATTTCAGTTTGTCGGACCACCCACCAAACACCCTGTATATAAAATATACTTTACGACTGATGTGTCGACTTGCGATTCTAGCCCTAAGTAAAGAGCAGCTAGGGCTAAAGTTTATTCCTTCCGTAATGCTGCTCCTGTGGTTGTTACATAATTCTATCCGATAGCAACCATTAAATCTAATATGCTCACCATAATAGGAGCGAGCTTGCTTTAATTGGTATGTGCCACAAGCAATTAATATTAAATCACTGTAAGTTAAAACAGGAAATTCCCTAACATTTTCAGAGTCTACATTTATATTTCTAAAGTCTGCCCTAGCTCTATTTAGATTTCGTTCCCTAACATACTCAGACAAATCATTATTTGTCTCCATATTTTGGTGAACTATTTCAAGTATTTGAGCCGCATCATCCCTGTCCCTTATTTTAGTGTGGAATTTATTAATTAGAGCAGCAGCCACAGCAAAGTCTATCATCAAATGTTTAGAAGCCCTGTTAAAATAATTTTGGCGAAATATTTTAAATTGAGTTAAAAATGCCATTCACCACCTCGACTACCCATCGACACATAGTCACAGCTCTGGACTTATTAGCTTCTCTAGTCGTTAACTGAGATTCACCATCGGGTGGAGACAAAGGTACATGAACCTGATAACCACAATGTTCTAAAAGAGGCAATGAATCCCTAAAGCCTCTATCTAGGATGAATACATCTCCAGATTCAAAATATTGCCTTAATGAACTGGATTCATTACCAAATTCATTTTTTATGATATCCGCATCTGAGGTTGTTGCAGGATAAGGGTCTAAAACATCTATGATGTAACCATCACTACACACAAAAAGGAAAGGTTTTATAAGATTGCTATATTTGTGTAATGAGTAAGTTTTTTTCTGATATAAATAATTGGAACTTTTTTCTATGTATATATATGTACCATCGGCAATTATGACAGGCCTCCTATTTTCTCCCCCATAAAGTCCATTTGGAATGAGAAGATTTCTTTGAGCTATTTCTGCTCGGGATATATGATTTATGCCCAAATTCATAGGAACAAAATCCTGATTAATTATTTCGCGGGCCATATTTATAAGCCGCTCTAATGTGCTTCTTGGCACTTGCAATAATGCTGACATGCGTTCGTCACTATCTCCTATTCTTAACTTCATTAAATATGCAGCAAGTGCAAAACAACCCCTATGTTTACTTGACAGTCTAGGAACTACAGAGAGAATTTGTTGGTATTGTGCCTTTGATAAGCCTAGATAATAATGTACAGTGTGCTCAGACATACTGTCAATATTTTCAAAGTCTATATGATTATGCATATTATCTTTCAATAATGTAGCAAAATCTTCAATTTGGGCTGCACTAAATGTTTTAATAGGATTATATATTGATTCTAAAAGTAAATCCCAAGAGTTACTATTTAAATGGTAGTTACAGATTCTACATTCTGGAGGTACATAGTAATTGTAATCACAAAAAAGACGTACCCGCAACGCTGTTGGAACAATTAGTCGATTGGAGTCGTTACAACCAGGAAAAAAACATTGATTTTGTGTTAGTGGTGCTCTTACATAATTAGGTAGCAGTATACTATGTGATATATGATCTAAGCTTTGTTGATCTGGGTGCAATACATTACCGACTTCAGATTGCAACGAGGATGAACTGGATGATTCAGATGGTTCCCGTTCTGCAGTTGAATGTGATGCTGCTCTATCAAACCTTCGCCAACAATTATGACACACACGAGATGACGATGGCAACTGAAATAATATTAAATACAAAAGTGAAAAAGTGAACTAAATAAAAATAAAATAGATTTGTTTCCTTTAAACTCAAATACATATAAAATATTTATCAAGTTAATTGTTACTGCACAAAAGCAGATTTAATGGCCTATATTATTTAATAATTAAGCACTTAAAAACTACCAGAAGTCCAAAAACAATGAAAAATCAATTGTCTCATTACTTGGTAGTTGGTAAAAACGGTAGCACTCTACCTGGTGGTGACAAGCTAATCTTATCGCCATGTTATAAATAAGCTTGTATGTTTGTCAGATATAGTTTGTGTGGATGTAATCAGAGTAAAAACATGTATCACTATCAGATATGAGCACACACACTTAATAAATTAAAAAAAAAATGTTGAACACGTACCTCACGTGGTGCAATTTGATGGGCAATTTCATTCCTTATGAGTTCCTCACGTAGAGAATCAGACCCAAACAATGTGTGTGATCTTATTCTCAAAAGTGACTTGCCACAGCTGATACATACATGTCCATGACTAATAATTGGTGAATTTTCCTGTTCGCTAGTTGGATGTCGTATTTGATTCCAGGCTGCAGTCCAACATACGTGGCATACTACACTATCACTCGAAACTTGTACCTAATAAAGAAGCCATAATTATTGTAGAATGAAGAAAAGGAAGACATGACACATAATTGTAACTATTTACCTACTGTGGTCGAACCCATTCTTGTATAAGATTTCGCAGTTCTGGAATTTCCAACAAATGCCTTCGTGTTTTCGCTATATTTAAACAACAATTAACGCAGCGAAAATGTCCTCTTGAATGAGTTACCGAGGGCTGGGAAGAAGTCTGGCCGGCGTGGAAGCTGGGATCATTGTTAACAGATCCACTGTTGTATGTTTTATTTAATCTTGTGCCGTCTTCCACTCTTTTTATATATGTACTTTGTACATATAAACATAAATAAAAAACAAACAATAACAATAAAATAGTAGTAAACCACAGCACTACTCTCCATCCTAATGACAACACCGATGACGACGACGCGACTGGACGACAACGGCGTAGCTGACCTTCCTTTTTTGAAACATTCTTAGAATGTTGTGTATCGATTTCAAAATCGATCTAACCGAAATATACAGACATCGATTCATAATATTTTATGTGTCGGGGAAGGCGTAGGCCAAGTGACGCACAGAAGAAAAGTCTTACACTCTTATGAAAATGGGGATTTGATATGATGCTGATTCTGCTAGATGATTTTGAGACTGAGAAAGAAAATGGCACAACACAAAATGAAAAATTGCTCTTCACACCCTAAGTAAAAAAAAACATTAATTGTAATTTTGTATTATTATTAAAGAAGGTACATAATTATTCATTAATCAACAATTGTATATAATTATTCGCACTAGGTAAATCAGCCGTATAATACTAAAATCTTGGTCATGGAATAAATAAACATATTTGTTCACCAATCAATCAAAAATTCAATTCATCAATCAAAAATCAAAATTCATCATCATCGACGCTTTCCAAAATCCGAATGAGTTCTGAGGAATCGTTCATGTTGCATTGCTCTACTTTTCTCGGTAATCACTTATGACGTCATCAGGGTGTCGTCTATCCTTGATCACGGTGCCCAGTGAACTGATTTTCGATGATGCGCTAAAGATGCGCTAGAGTTGAGATATTAGATTTATTATGCGAAGATAACCTGATAACATTTTTTATTCATGTAGCTAATTATAGTTTTATGTTTCTAACCTTTAATTTTATTCAAATATCAATAATAATAGAAAAAAAAACACCATTGAGCTGAATTTTGGATAGTTTTCAAGAAATCTATGCCTCCCGCGTTTGACACTAGCGGTCAACCATAGACGACTTTGGCGTGCTGGACATAGTATTTGCTTAGATAAAAAATCAATTTTTATTAGTTCAATGTTTCTTAGTACTTGTGGCTCTAGAAGACTTGTTTTTTATACTCACATGTTGCTGGGTTATTCCTATTTTGAGGAGTGTAGAATTAAAATACCTGTAATAATTTTCCAATATCTATATTTCATATTTTTCGGAGCGGGCTTTTTTGTCAACTATAGACGTCGTTGGCGCTCAGGGCCCGCAGGTGTTGGTCAAGTATAGGCGACTTTGGCGCTCAAAAGGTTAAAGGATTCATGGTAAATTAGCTGGAAACTAACTTGTTTCGTTACCATAACATGATTCTATTTTAAATGTATTGTTATAAACAGATAAGAATAACTTAACCGATCTTCTTTAAAAACAGATAAGAATAACAGTTCTTATCTGTTTTCAAAGAAGATCGGTTAAGATTAACACTTAAATTGTGCCGTAGCATTTGTTACTCTCTAAAGAATTCATTGG